AATAGCTCCTTCAAACTTTAAATCCAAACGTATGTTATGCTAAAATTCCAGTGTTATTACAGTTTCAGTTAAGTGCCATATATGCAAAGTAGCATATATTAACTGCACCTGGAATGATCACTTATCCTGCAAGTCCAGAAAAAAGTGGAAACAACAATAATTGCAGGTGATACTTGTATGGGAAGCAATACTGTTTATAGAGCACTGATAGGGAACCATGTTCAGCAATGTTGGCACACACCTCTGCTGCATTAAATGCTCAGCTTCTTTCTAGTGGCAGTCAAATAAAGTTATAAAAATGCCATAGCAATTCTATGGCCCAAACACATGGTAGAAAAAGCAAACCCATAGCTTACGATTACACACCACAAATACAACAGCAAACTAAAAACAAACAATTATCACTGTAGCTTCAATGAGGGCATGGTGGCTAAGCTACTGGCCAAATGCTATAAAAGCATGAATGTAAATTCCACAGTCGTTAGGGAATTTAAATTCAGTTCATTAAGTAAATCTAGATTTCAGAAATAAAACACAAGTATTGTTAGTGTTGGAAGTTTCATGTTTTTGCAAACATCTAGCAGGTTCATAAATCTCCTTTAGAAAAGGAAATTTGTCGTCTCTACCCTGTCCAGCCTACGTCAATTCAGACCCACAAAAAAAAAGTGTGGTTGACTCTTAGCTGAAATAGCCTAACAAGCCTGTCAGTTATACTTAAAAAGGAGGTTGCAAGCCACCATTTTCAAGAAAATTAAACACTGATCTGATAGTCCATAAACAATGGGTGTCACCAAATATATCATTATATCATAACAATATTCAAGACTCCCACATTCTATTTTAAAAATGAAAATTCTAATTTCACAGTGTTGGGAAATAGTGGTACGATGCTTGTAGTCTGATTCCAGGTTAATGTTTGGGGACTCTATCTCAAATTCCACAAAAGCTGCTGGCACAATTGAATGTGATGGAGAGATCAAGGACTGAAGGTTGTCCCAGTGATATGGGCAACAAAACCATTACGCATTGGCTTTTATGACAATCAGCTTCACTAATGTCCTTTAGGGAAGGAAGTCTGCCATCCTGACCTGGCCTGAGCTACTGTGGGTCTGGAGCCACATTTCACATAGTTGACATTCAACTTTACTCTGAAGTGGCCTACCAAGCCATTTTGCTCAAGGTGATTGCAGATAGACAACAAATACTGGCCTTGCCAGTAACATCCCCACACACACAAAAAAACTTCTTAGAAATGAGCCTCACATCTTCAGCATCTTTAATTGCAATTAATTAGCACTCTTCATTCTTTGGCCAATTTCAAGTTTCTTTTCCCTTGATAATATAATTTAAAATGAATGCTGACAAACATAAGAAAACTGACTTTCAATAGTCCAACTTTGCAATAAAGGGGAGCGTACAAATTACTTACACAGCACTAAGCTAACCATCAGATAACAAACCCTTTAATGGACATGGACCCAGGTTTTCAGCACATGACAGCTTCTTTGTCATGGCAAAAATAAAAATCCCGAAGAAACAGAAATCCTGCCCCTGCAAGCATTATTTCTGATTTTCATGGGTGCTACTCTGCAGGCATTTCAGGATTTATGCATGTGCCGTTCCCAGGAACAACTGGTGACTATCTCCGTATAAACTAGATTTTGATATCCTAGCTGTCTGCAACCTCATGTGTGAAACAAACTTGGCTTAGGGACTTCAGTGAACTTATTCTGGATCATGATGCAAGGCATGATTCATATTTACCTTAATATCATTCATTTTAGGAGCTAGATTTAACCTAGTGGCATGTGGGCTTTAGTCCGAAAGGGTTTAATGGTTAAACTTCTATAGCCTTGGTGATTTATTTTAAAACAGTGAAGACATGAAATTCTGGAGGGTGATGGCTTTTTGTTTATATTGGGAGAGTCTGGGAGTTTGCTATAGGAGCAAGAAAGGGAACCCATGATTGGAGGAGTTGGAGCAGTGGGGATGGAAGAGTTAGAATCTGTGACTGGAGGAACAACTTCCCAGTTTCTGTCCTCACAAATAGGGCAACTATTACCTCACCTGCCACCCATTCATGGAGTTTTTTTGGAGGGCTTTCAAGGACAAATTTGTCTGCCATTGCCAGGTATTTCGAACAGAGATGCCATTCCTGCTAGCATCAGGTAACATAGGCTGTGTGGAAAATTTGAATGCCGTTAGCTGTAACTGGAAACTTATTTTGAAGCAGTTTTTAAGAAAGCATTTTGTCAATACTGCATGAACAGAATGGCAATGTGATATTGCTGCAATATCAGAATCCTATTGGGACCATCTTTGCAGCAGATATGGGAGTTACATAACACACAACTAGACAACCTCCAGCAAGACATGTACTGATACCAGCCTTTTAAAGAACTCAGAAATTTCCCTAAAACCATAACCGAACGGGAGGCAATTTGCTGATGCACCTTGCAGACTGCACATTAACTTTATTCAACTGATTTTTGATGTCTATTTCTGCCTCAGCCACTTGTCACAGAATCTACGCAGTGCTTAAACAGGTCATTCGGCCCATCATGTCTGCACTGATCCTCTGCAGAGAATTCCACTCAGATCTAGCCCTTTACCCTATCCTCCTAGGCCCGCATTTAGTGTGGCCAAACCACATAACTTGCACATTTTTGGACTCCGAGAGGAAACTAGAACACTCAGTGGAAACCTACGCAGACACAGGGAGAACACACAGACTGTTTCCGGAGGTTGGAATCAAGCCCGGGTTTCTGACACCGAGACACAGCAGTGCTAACCACTGGACCACCAGGCCACCTTCACTTGTGGCAAAGCATTCCAGAAGTGATTTGCGCAACCACTGGTAGAGGTTCATTTGCTGTAATTTGGGGAATTTCACAGCCCTCCTGTCCAAGTTATGCTAGAGATATTTTAAAATAAACCTTCAAGCATGTGCAGCAATATTTCAGTGTCTATAGCCCAAGCAGGCATATTGCAAAATGCTGCCCTGCAGTTCAAGTTGTCAAGACCTTAAACTGACATTCTTGTCGCTCCTTTATCCCTCAAAGGATATCCATAACAGGTTTAAAAATAAAAAGAAAGGGGCTTCAAATGTGCCATTTAAGTGGAATCTAGCTGCACAATTCACTTGGTTACTTGCAAACTGCTGCCTTATTTCCCATCATTCCATTGGACTTCAACTTAGAAAAGCCTGAAGATCTTCTCTGGTTCTGCAGAGTAGCCTTTCAACTCCATATCCACAGTGGATCAGGGACATGCCATGGGAGATGGGAATTGTCTGAAGCTTACAGATAGAGCTCATTTTTAGTTGCAGACTACACAGTTACATTTAAAAAAACTAGAGTATTTCAATTTACACAAAGGGTTAAAAAAGACACATCCTAGAAATGAGTGGCCCCTTTTATAATGAGCATAAGACTTTCCTTTCTGTTCATTGTGCACGGCCTGTCCATGTACACTGTATAGACAAGTCAAAAGACAAAGAATCAAGGCAAAATTCCTTTCAATATCAATTTGCACAAGATTGCTAATAGTAATATCTTGCACATGGGTGCCAGCACTAGGTTGGTCTGAAGGATTATCTGGAGGTATTAAGAGCAGTTTGATTTCAGAGAGTCACTGATGAATATAGACTTCTTACATCTGTTTCACAACGTAAAAGTTACACACCTGTTTCACAATGTTTATAACTGTCCAACATACTCCAGATTTTTCATGGTCTAATGTAACAACATCATGTTCACATATGTTATAAATAGGAAATATTTTATGGCTTGATTCACCATGGTATGAGACTTTTTCCTCTGTTCATTTATTAACAATTTTCTATTCAAATGCTTTTCCTAGCAGTGTTTCAGGGCTTAGATATCTATTTTGCATGCCTACAATTGTGATGTGACTAAATATGAAGAGCAGTCCAGCATTTCCACTTTACAGCTGGGGAATTATCTGGTCTTCAACACTTAAAAATCTTAAATCAACTCTTATTCTGCTTTATTATGTCACCCAAGCGTTAGCCAATGCATGTTATAGTCTGGGCATATTTTCCACTGGTACCCTGATCTTCCTGCTGTCTCATTGGGCTGGGTTGTGACAGTCATCTCCAAAGACAATGTCATTACTCTTCACTTAGTGTAAAAATCAGATCACTTAGAACATAGAGAATGCACATTATAAGATTAGGGTGATATTTCCACTGATGCAGTTATTATACAGGTTCCTCTTAGGCAGCAAGGCAATTATTTATAGGCTGTTTTTAAGGCCAATGCTGTTACTAGGTGGAGCATTCCAGACATTTTCTAATCAACCTGCTTGGAAATGTTATTACACAAATCTGGAGCAGATGGGTCTTGAACTCAGGTCTCCTGGTCCATAGGTAGGGACACTACCACAACACCACAAAACCCTGGGTGGAGTGCTGTGCACACATGTGCAGAATTACTGAGGTGCTTGATATTTTTATTTTGTAGGTGGCATTTTGAAGCAGAGTTCTTGCCGAAGGAGCTTTGTTAAAACAAAAAAAAAAGTGTCTGGAGATGATTAATTTGGAAAGAGAGAAAAAGTCTTTTCAGCTTGGTTTCAGAAGCAGCTGGTCACAAATATACTTTAAAGTGGTTTTCAAATGTGCAGTTTGCAAAAGAAAAAGTTATCATTTTCTTATGCTGGAAATTTGCTTGGCTCCAAAATTGCATCATTTAAGCTTTTCCTTCTCTCTCCACACCCAATTAGATGTTCCAAAGGTGCTTTAACAACTTTTCAGTAGAAATGTCCTTGGAGCCGCTCCCACTTTAAAATGGTAATTAAAACCCTGTTCATACTTGCAAACAGGGCGTCAGTTGCACTTTCAGCAGCCAAGTGGGAATAGTTAGACAATAATTCCCAGTCTTTGCTTCAGGCAGGTTCTGTTATGCAACTTTACAATCACAGTAGCATCCATATTTGCAATGAGCTACGCAATGTTAACATGCAGGGATTTCAGTACATACTTGTGACTGCGACTGCACATCGACTTTGAAAGGATGGGAGTTTCCATCTTCAAAACCATTTGGGGACCAGGATTTGTTCTCCACCCTGCAATAAAGAAGCAATTTTAAGTGATATTCCAACTAGGAACGACAATGTTGCTGCAGCAACAGTTGCTTAAAAATCAGGATTCTGCGGTGCCTTCTGGAACGCTAGAGTTGTCATTTCTGAAACTGGACTCATTAAAACTCAGGCATATATTGTGGAAGGCGCCACTTATTTTGAGCTGAAATCTATTCTGCTTGGAGTGCAGATACAAATGTGCATTTGCACCTCACCATTAATTAGGTGATCTCTTTCAGAGAGACTATAAAAAGATTAATATGTAGAAAAGGATCAAAACTATACTAAATAGCATCTTCAGAAGTTGTATTGCACCTAAATATTGCTATAATGACTTCAGAGGAAAGAATGTATATTACATCAGACATTTCAAAGGATGTAAAGTAGCCTCTGATGACAAAAGGCAAGCTTTTCCCACTGTTTTCAACATGTGTTCCTCGGATCGTATTCAGTTCTAACCATTCATTGGAAAAGCGTTTAATTAGTTGCTGTGTAATTTTCAATAGTTACCTTTGCCATCCAATTTTGTTCTCTGCTCTTCAGATTAGGTTAGGGTCTCGTTCAGCAGATACCAGTAGCTGATGAACATACATTGTTCAGGATCATTCAGAGTTCCTCAGATACCGAATCAGTCCACGGCCTCGTGCATTAAGACCTGAACCACATTCAGCCTTTGGCTGAAAAGTGGCAAGTCATACACTATCAGGCAACAACAAATTTTGAACAGGATCTAACCGGATTCCCTTGACTTTCAAAGGCACTTCCATTAATTTTTGGAGTTACCATTGACCAGAAGCTGAACTTGACCAGCTATATAAATACTATGGCTACATCAGCAAGTAAGAGGCCAAAGAATTCTGTCTCGCATATGCCCTCCTGACATCTCCATACCTGTTTACTATTTACAGGGCACAAGTTTGGTTTAAATTTTCCAATCACCACAGTGGATGAGCTCATCGGAGGTTCCGGCTAAGCCATTCTTTAAATGTAGTTACAAAATCTCAATTGTTCCAGTGCAGAAGTAGGCCATTCAGCCCATCAGGTCTACATCAGGATGCTTGTTGGGTGGCTGCTTCTACTGTTGGCCTCTTGTGCATCAAATAATCCTGTTGGTGGTGAGCAGACAATCCAACTCTTCTGCATGAAAAACATGTTCAAAGAACTGTGTCTGTTTTGATAGGGTCAATAGAAACAGCATAAATCAACAGCACAAATACAGGTCAATTTCTATGATCCTATAGCCATTATGGAAACATGGTTACAAGGAGATCAAAGCTGGGAAATAAATATTCAGGGAATGTTACATCTCTAAAAAGGACAGGCTGAAAGGGAAGGGTGGTAGGTTAGCATTTTGGTGTGGGATGGAGTAAGTATGCTAGCAAAAAAAACAAAAAAAAATTCAGAAGACATAGAAACCACATGGTTGAAGGCCACACACACACACACACAGGGAAGGAGTACTCTGGTAGTAGTAGTACTGTTAGGATACCCGAACAGTAGCTATACGGTGGTGCAGACAACAATGACAGCACGTAATGAAAGTAGTACATTAATCATGGGTGACTTAGATTGTAATAGTCAGATTAGCAGAGGAATCAGAGGAAGAATTCAGGGACAGTTTCCTAGAACATGTATCCAAACCGGGACCAGGCTATTTTGGATGTGATGATGTATAATGAGATAGGCTTAACAAATGCCAGAGTAAAAAGATGGCCTCGGGGAAAAAAAAGTAGCCATTACACAGTAAAATTTAGCATTCAATTTGAGAGGGAGCAACTTGGGTCAACTGTTCGGAATTCAAATGAGGGCAATTACAAGGGAATGAGGGTAGAGCTGGATGAAATGGACTGAGAAGAGAGTTTTTTTTTTAAAAAAACATCTACCATTCTTCTTCAGTTAGTGGCTTGCAACAAATATATATCCAATTGAAAAAGAATTCTAGGAAGGAGGATAAGCCAACCATGATTAACTAGAGAAGTTAAAAGGATTGTATCAGACTGAAAAAAACAAAAGCATATCACTAGAATTTGCCAAATTGTAAGACAGAAGACTGGGAAAGTTAGAAACCAAACGATGACTAAATAGAAACAGAGGGAGGAACTAGGTTTGAGGGGAAACTTGCAAGTAATCAGGACAGACAGCAAGAATCTCTCTAAATATATAAAAAGGAAAAAGAGAGAAGTCAAAGTGAACATGGGCCCCTTAGGGAGCAAGGTTGGGGAAATAGGGATAGGTCAGAGGAGTTGACTAAATACTTTGCATCAGTCTGCACAGTAGAAGACACTAACAACATTCCAAAGTTACTAAATGAACTAAATCAAGGGCCAAAAAAGGTGGTGAGGAAATAAATACTATAACTTTCACTAGATAGAAAGTGCTAGGGAAACCAATAGGACTAAATAGACAAGTTCCTTGGACCTGATAGGATACATCCCATGATAGTAAAAGGAAATTGCTACGGAGATAATGGATGCACTGGCAATAATCTTCCAGGAATTCATAAATGTTGGAAAAGTCCCAGATGTTTGGAAAACTACCACAGTAATACCTTTATTTGAGAAGGGAAGGCAAATAGGTAACTACAGGCCAGTTTGCACAATGGGTGTTATTGGGAAACTATTAGAGTCTATTATAAAGGGTGTAATAGCAGAACATTTAGAAGTATTCATTATGATCAAGCAGAGACAGCAGGACTTCATAAAAAGGGAAATCATGGCTGACAAATTTACTGGAATTCTTTGAAGGGGGAACAAGCATGATAGATAAAGTGGAAGCAATGGGTATAATATAACTGGATTTCCAGAAGGATTTTAATAAAGGTACGGATATTAGGTTGCTTAATAAGATACAAGCCCATGGTGTTTGAGGTAGTACATTAGCAAGGACAGAGGATTGACTAATAGACAGAGATTTAGAATAAGGGGAACATTTTCCAGAGTAGCAACTGGTAACTAGAGGAGTGCCAAAGAGATCAATGCTGGGGACACAGTTATTCACAATATACATTAATGACTTGGATGAGGAAAACTGATGTACAATAGCCAAGTTTGCAGATGACACAAAAACAGGTGGGAAGGTAACTGGGGTGAGGATGACAGGATCTGAAGAGGGATATAGACAGATTAACCGAGTAGGATGGAATAGAACAGAACATGGGAAGGTGAGGTTATGCATTTTATTAGTAAGAATAGAGGATTAATATTTAAATTGAGAAAGCTACAAAATGGATGATTTGGGAGTTCTCATCAATGAATCACAAAATATTAGCATCCAAGTTCAGCAGGTAATAGGAAAGGCAAATGGAATGTTGTCCTTCAAGTTGAAAACAGAATGTTTTGCTGAATACATACAAGGCAATAGTTAGGATGCTGCTGGAATACTGTGTAATGTTTTGGTTCTCTTGTCTAAAAGATACATAAGATTTGGCCTATACTCATTTGATTGTAGGATGAGAGGCAACCATACTGAAATATACAAAATTCTTAGGGTCTTGACAGGGTAGATGCAGAAAGGTTATTTCACCTTTTGGGAAAATATAGCACTAGAGAACATAATCCCCAATTAAGAGATCACATACTGAAGACAGAAGAGGAGGTATTTCTTCTCTCAGAAAGGGTGGTGCATCTGGGATTCTTCACCACAGAAGGCTCTCAAGGCTGGGCCTTTAAATATATTCAAAGCTGATAGATTAAAAATTTGTCTCAGTCTGGGAATCAAGGGTTGTGGCATGTTTGTCAATATACTACTATGGCTTGCACTTGGTGTCAAATAAAAAAGTTATTCAAATAAAGTCACAGGGTAGGTGGAAAAATCTAGACTCAACACAAGGTCATGCAATTTGTAGTACTCTGCATGTTAAGTTCCAATATTAAACTATTTTAAAATGATTAAAAGCCTAATTAATAAAATAATAAATAAAACTTGATATCTACTCCCAATTTTTGGCATTGTAGCAGGGTATGAACCACCACAACCTGTCACTTGTTTAGACCTCCCTGAAATCCACTTGGAGGGAGATGGCATTCAATACAAATACTACAGAACTCTAAAATGTAAAAAAGGTCAGTTTTTGTGGTGGTCAGATCCAGCCATTTCTCTGTCCCTCTACATCTCATCCAGAATGCTGTGGGAATTGTCCAAATCGTTTGCTCTTTCTTTCTGTCTACTTGGTGCTTATTTGGATTACTCCACTAGATTCTGCAGAAATTGCAATAAACATGGCAAGAATCACATGAGCCATTCAATCCAGCTACGCCATTTTTTCAAAAAGACAGATTTAACACTTGTCTACTTAGTCACTTGATTGCAAATCAGCAACTATTCAGGTTTTTACATGCTCCTTTCTTCATTTCAACTCTTCAGCCACTCCCTAGTAGTCTACAACTCCAATATGACAAAACAAAAAGGTTCTATTCAACCTATTCAGATGTTAAAAAATGTGTCTGTGGCAGGTGGGAATGGATTTTGGTCTTCTGGCCCAAAAAGGTAAAGACATCACCACAAGGTCTTCAAAGACCATCTGTGTCACAGTATTACCAATTGACATTTAAATTGAACAGACCCTAAATTAGATCAAGTTCAGTGCCAGAGAGATCAGCAGGTGCAGGTCTTAGATAAATGGTTTTTCAGGGTCATTATAGGTTCAACTAAATTTTTATACATACAATTGTAGTACAACACACAACCTAATAGTTTGGCAATAATATTAGATTTATTCATCTTAATAACTGGATTACTGAACTTAAGAAACTCTCCACACAATTTTTAGTGGATTAGATGTTCCATATTGTGTAATGCTAAATCAAAGACCATTATCTTAGATTCATTCCTTATTATTTGCCCACTTAGCTGCTCTTAGAGTGACAGTCAGGAAGCTATCACAAGCCTAAGCAATACTTGCCATGTATTGAGTTTCTCTCAATGATCATTTCTGAACAAAAGTACATTTATACATGAGGAGCAGCTAGGATTGGATGCAGGGAGAA